CCCAGGGGAGCGCTGGCCCTGGCCCTGCCCCAGAGGAAGACAAGAGGACTACACAGGCTACCCCCACAATCTGCTCACTCGATCGCAGCCAGATCGCAGTGGTTGGTGACACAGCCCTTTGTACAGCCCCTGCCCCATGGGAGAAAGGAGGCAGGTAAGGCCAGGCGGCATTAGAAGATCTCCCGCTGTCCCGCTCCTTGTCCCTGTCCTGGGACATGCAGACCGGCGGCACGTAGGACCCCGGCCATCCCTGGGTAGCCTGGAGAGGGAGACGGGAGAAGAAATGTCCAGGAGGCCGATGTTAACTGAGCCACCTCTGCAGCCACCCTGCTTGGCCCTGGCTGTGATGTTAACAGCAGCAATGGGGTCCTCAAGCCTCTGTGTGACCCTCGGTGCCCAGGAGGTGCAGCTCCCTCTCCTAGATAGCGATGCAGAGGCCCAAGAGGTTAAACTACCTGCTCAAAACCACCCCGCTAGTGAGAGCCAATGTCGGGATTTGAACCCAGGACCCGTCAGTCCACAGCAGCTCCGTCCTGGCTGTGGCACTGAGATGTAAGCATAGTGGGAGACACAACCTCTCCTGCCACCTACATAGGACCCCGCTATTTTCCCTTTAAAGGACTCTACTTTCTCTAGGTTGAAAAGTGAGTCTACAAAGGTTGGGGAGAAGCTAAGCAAAGTGACACCACCCCAAGTCTCCTAGACACGAAAAGGAGTAGCATGAAAAGAAGTAGAAGAGAACAAAAGAGTTCTGTCTGTCCCGCAGGCTCCAGTGGTGATCCTAAGTCACTAGTGGGCCGCCAGGCATGCCTGTTGCATTTGGGAAATGCCAATCATTGCACAAATTGAGAAACGGAGGCCAGGAACCCGTGCCCAGGGCAGAGACAGGCTTCTGGATGTGCCATGCCCCGGGGGGCTGCGTGAGGGTGCTGCCACTCAGAGGACGAGGGAGCCCTTTGACCCTGCCACTGCCCCAGAAGACTGAGAGCGGAGGAGAGCTGGCCAGGTGCCTCCCTCACCCGCGGCCTGCACCCTGGGCCCTTGGGGTGGGTTCCAGGGGCCTGGCAGCCGTGTTGGCATTGCCTCCTGCGGCCCCGTCGGAGGACAGCTGTGGGAGCCCCGGGGCCAGGAGGGCCAGGCCTTGGAAGGGTTGAGGGGACGTGGGGCCAGGGGAGGGGACGGAGCCACACAGATGCCTCACCCCAGGCACCAGGCCAGCACATCTGTCAGTCCTTCTGGCTAGGAGAGGCCAGGCGGGGCCGCCGGAGCTCAGCAAGTCAGGGGCAGAGGTGGGACTCGAAGTCAGGTCTCCAACTCCAGGGCCTGCAGCAGGGTCCTTTCCTGGGGAAATGGTGAGGCCCGGGAGCCGCGCTGGGAAGGAAGCTCAAGCCCTTCTTGCCGTCAGTCAGATCCCCTCGGACCCTAGGCCAAAGCCAGGTTTTTGCTTACGCCAGCTGGGGCTGACCCCATGTGGTTCTGGGAGACTTCACCCCATCCATCTGGGCCCCGGATGGACTTTGTCCCCCGCTAGACTGATCTGGGCACTGTCCCTCCACAGCTGTGTCTCCTGCTGGCTGGGCCACCAAGCCCAGCAAGGCCTGGGTAAGGACAGCGAGGTGTGAACTGCAGTGACCCCAGCGAGAGCACCAAACCCAGCCGGGCTGCAGCAGGGCTTTGGTCCTGGGCTCTCGGTCCCGGGCTCTCACCTCCCCTCCCCCGCCGTGGCGTCCCTGTCCTTGCTGGTCCCGCTGTCCCCAAGAGAGGAAGATCCACCCCCAGATTTACTAGGCCATGCTAGGAACTCAGTTTGGAGCCATCTCTGAGGTCACAAGGGCACGGCAGTTTCCCAACGATCTATTTGGCCCTCCCTGGGCCGGAGACCTTTGCCCCCACCAGCCCCCAGAGCCGTATCAAACTTCAGCCACCTCTCCCCAGCCCCAAGGAGCCAAAACACAGGGCCAGGCTTTAAAACACGGCCACGGGGCGATTTACCAGCTGGGCTGTGGACCCCTGACCTCCGGGAGATGTAATGCATCTCGTTGGTTTAGCGGATCAATGACGCTGGGAAAAAGAGCCCCATGGGGGGCGGGGGCCGACACCCCTGGGCGAGAAATCCCAGAGCCAGGGTCTGTCGTACGGGGCGCCTGCCCTGCGCCACCAAAGTAAGCACGCAAGCCTGCGGGCGCTACAGGGTTCCGGGGAGACTGAGGCTTGTGGGCTCCTCCAGGTCATGGTTTCCCCTGATCAGCCCTTCTGCCTTCCGGGGGCAAAGCGGGGCGGTGTTGGGGACGTGGTGGGGAGCCACGCTTGTCTGTTCTCGCTGCGGTGCGGGAGCCAGTGTGAGCTCCCCGCCTTCCTCCCCTCGAGGGGCGCAAACCGGACCGCAGGGGCCTCGGGCTTAGTACCAGGGGGTCCCCTGCTCCCCAGAAACCCCAAAGCTTTACTGAGGAGGGAGGCTAAGAGGAGCAGCGGGGCTCCGCGTCTCCCCCGTCTCCTCGCCACGCCCGGCCCCAGCCCGCTCCGCGGAGGCACCGGCGCCCCGGGCCTCCGGCCGGAAGCGGAAGCCGGGTCCTCGGAGCAGCTGAGTCCCCGGGAGCTTCCTAGAGAGGCCAAACCTGGGCCGGCTCCCGCCCCCGGAGCGCTGATCGCAGAGCCGGCCACGGTAAGGTTTGGGAAGAGCGGTTGGCGCGTGAGCCAGAAATGGAGTGAGGCGAGAAAGGGGCCTGCGTCCGAAGCATTACTGCAGAAGAGGCTGTGGCCGCTCATTTAACCTGATGATATCCGCGCGCTTGAAATCCCAGCCCTCGGGGAGGTTGAGGCAGGAGGATTGAAGGTTCAAGCCTGGTCCGGGCAACTTAGCGACTCAGTGAGATCCTGTCTCAAAATAAAGAAAATAAAAAGGGCAGGGGATGGAGCTCGGTGGGAAGGCCTTGGGTTCAGTCACCAGTACCGCAAAAACCAAAAACGCTGTGGTTCCCCGTCTTCCTTGCACCTTATCTTCAGGCAAATTCTTTAAAGCTGTAGGACCTCCATCTTCCCAGTGAATAACACGGATGAGGACACAGCGACACATTTTAAGGAGCTTGTCTGTTCCCTGGGTGGCACTCACAGTTGTATTCACTATATATATATTTTAAAATCACGCCTCGTAAAGACACTCAGGAACAGAAACTTCCAGAACTGCTTCAGAAAGTAGCAAGGACAATGGGATAAGTAGTGCCAAGTGAGGGGGAGTATCGTCAACAGCAAAGTCTTATTGTAACAATGTTTAAATATTGAAACACTGCATATTTTGATGAGCTGAGCTCTGAAGGCCAAGAAGACACCAGATGGGCAAGAGCTGGAGAATTCGCACTCCAGCCAGGGGAAATGGCAAGTGCCAAAGCCCTGTGGTAGAACAGAGCTGGGCCAGTGGGAGGAGCTACAAAGGCGGACGTGGAGTAGACCAGGTAAGATTAATACCAGGCCATGAAAACAATGAGCAAGGATAAAAAAACCAGCCATGTATGGCAGGCAGCAAGCTACTCTCTTTAAAACTTTTCTAGAGATCAAAAACTATTCCAAAATAAGCACTTCATTGGTACATAAAGCTGCATACAGGGCCCTGGTGGAGTAACGGGTTCATCACTAGCCTTGCCCTCCAGCACCCACTAAACTGGGCACGGTATACCAGACAACTGTTTGCCAGCCATGGGCAGCTGCAGCCCAAGCCCCAAACTCCCAGGAGAAGGAAACCCAAGGTCAGAGAGCGAGGCCTGGGCTGCACGCAGCCATTCTGTTGGGCCGGGAGGCGGAGACTGGAACTCAGAGCTGAGGCAGCTGTAGCGCTGCAGCCTAAGCCCCCCAGTCCTGAGCAAGGCCCTGGCTACTTTCGATGAGACTGCTCAGGGGGGTGTGGAGCTGGGACACTGAGGTCTGAGTGGGAGCAGAGAGAGGAGGGGCAGTTGGCATAGAGGAGCGCTGGCCTTTGTCCTTAGAGAGGAGGAAGGGTCTGTGGGAGCCAGGCATGTGCCACACACAGGTGATCCCAGCGCTCTGGGAGGCTGAGGCAGGAGGATCACAAGTCTGGGCTTATCCTAGGCAACTTAGTGACCTAGAGACCTTGTTTTAAAATAAAAAGTAAAAAGGCCTGGGGATAGAGCTCAGTGGTACAGCGTCCCCATGTTTAATCCCCACTGCAAAAAAAAAAAAAAAAAAAAAATTCAATGCAGTTCTTAGTTTTGGAAAAATAGCGTCTTCCTCCCCGTCAGCTGGCTTTCCCCCCAAGACAGTTGCCCTGGCGGGGTCCATCTTCCTCGTCTTCCTCCCTATTCTCTTCGGTCAGGACTCGGGGGACAGGGATCCACCAGGCCCCCAGCACCCCCACCCTCGCCCACCTGAGCTCTGCCCCCTTTAGGGCTCAATGTGGGGCTCACCGCCCCTGCCACCCCAGCATTCTCACCCACAGGGTCTCTTTCCCACCCCGCTCAGGGACGGTCCAGGTTGCTTGCTCCCCTGGAGCCGAGCAAGGGCTCTGACAGTGGCTCTTTCCGGGGTCCGTACCTCAGTAGAGCGCCAGCCGTGACTGTGGCTCGGGTCCCGTTCACCCTAATGACTTATAAATCACCTAGTAGATGTGAAAGAAATCTGACAGGAGCTAGGATGCGAAATGGGCTTTGAAAGTAGATAAAATTTCACTAAGGATGGAAGTGTGCACAAGCTCCTTCGGCTCACTGTGAGCAAAGGAAAAGGGGAGGAAAATTGTGTTAACTTCCGGACTTCGGAGCAAGAAGCACAGAGAAGAGTGTTGTTGGCTTTATTCGTCGACTTTTTTCTCTTTTTCCTTTTTGCTTTTGGTTTCTTGAGACAGAGACTCACTATGTAGCCCAGGCTGGCCTTGAAGTGTCAGCGATCCTCCTGCCTCAGCCTCCAGAGTGCTGGGATCACGGGGCGTGCGCCACCACGCATGGCTTTGTTTTTCGTTTTTAAAAAATGCGCATTTGGAGAGACAGATGGATGGGTAAGTCGGTGGGTGGAAGGAGCGAATGGCTGGATAGATGGATGTGCATGGAGACACAGAGGGGTGGATGAACCAGCGGCCGGAGGAAAGGCCGGCTGGCTAGGTGGGTGGATGGATGGGTGGGTGGATGGGAGATTGAACGGAGGGATGAAAGCTGGGCCATGGTTTAAAACAAATCCCTTACTTTTAAGGAAGCAGAAAGAGGCCTGCATCGATTGCAGGCCAGAGGAAGGCTGCGTTACCTCCAGGCTGTCCCCCACCGCCCGCCTCCTGTCCCTGGCCTCCACTCCCTTGCCTCTCCTGCCCACTTCTGGAAGCTGGGGTGAGGACCGGCCGCTGCTCCCCACTCCCTCTACGCTCTGTCCCTTCCTCTCTCTGTCTCTCTCTCTCTCTCTCTGACTTTTGTCCTTGGATATCTGCATGCGCAGAAGTGGTTTCGTTTTCTGCACCAGGGCGGCCATTAGGAGGAGGCAGGTGCATTACCCTCTCTCGGCACAATAGTGGCCCCTTCAGCCATTCTGCTCCACCTAAGGCTGTGTGTGCTGCCCCAGCTTCCTCTCCAGAGCCGGGAGGCCCCATCTGTCAGACAGTTTGCGCCCGTGCCTCGGCCATTATGCCCGCCCCGGGCTGGATGGCGGCTGTGCCCGGCTCTTTATCCTCCCCAGGGCTGAGCAGGGCTTGCTCGGAAGAGGGTTGTCAGCGTGCACGGAGCGGCCCACGCGGCCTAATGCACTCTCTTGCCTTTGTCCCGCCTGCCTCTCCTGCCCCACGTTCCCCACTCAGAAAGCCTCTTCAGACACATCAGCAGCGAGGCCACAGAACAGCCACTTGTTGGCTAATTGTGCTGAGCAGCTGCCGGTGGGGCTGGGAGCAGGGCCGGGTGGGGTCGGCAGCTCAGCTCAGCCCGGCTCTCCTGGGAGAAGCCCCTCTGCTCCCTCCAGAGCCTGACTGCTGGGCTGGGCGCTCCAGCTGGGGCAGCGATGCCCACCTCTGCTTCTGTGCCCAGGGGAAGGGGACAGGGGCCGGGACATGCTCAGGCCTGGGGTTAGCAACATGATGGTGGCTTTTAAGTCCTCCTCCAGCTCCCCAGGGCTGCCTGCTACTAGTACCAGGAGCTGGAGACACTGAGATCAAACCCTGGCTGCGCTGCAGTCTGGCTGTGTAACTGGAAGCTTGACCTCTCTGAACGTTCGTTGTCTTCTCATGAAAATAGGATAATAAGTCCTCCCAGCTCCCCAGGGCTGCCTGCTACTAGTACCAGGAGCTGGAGACACTGAGATCAAACCCTGGCTGCGCTGCAGTCTGGCTGTGTAACTGGAAGCTTGACCTCTCTGAACGTTCGTTGTCTTCTCATGAAAATAGGATAGTAGCAACGCCTGCCCCGGTCGTTGTGTAAGATTTCACTGGGGGGTCTTAGAACCCCTGAACACAGCTCTTAGGGGTTCACAGTCTGAAGGGTGTGGCCTTGGCAGGAGACACTAACCCAGCCCGAGAAACTAGGGTGGGTTAAGCAGGAGCTAGAAGAGCCCAGGCCATGGCCCAGGCCAAGGCAGATCGCAGTAAGCAGGAGTAGTATATGCAAAGGCCCTGGGGCAGGATAAATTGGAAGAACAGAGGGCCAGCATGAGAGGAGTCAGAAGAAAGCAGCCGGAGAAGTAGCAAGGGCCAGGTCAGGGGTTCCTGCAGCCTTGGTAAGAAGCTTAGCTTTATCTTGAGGGTAGTAGGGAGCCAGGGACGGGGAGGTGGGTGGTGGGGAACCACAGACCCTTGTTAGGTTTTTCTTTTCAAAGACCAACCCAGCAGGGTGATGTTCACTGCTCTGGTCTCTCAGGTCGCCCTGCTTGCTGGCCACAATTCCCTGATGGCATAACTGCTGTCCAGCCTGGAGAGGCAAGGGTTAAATGCCATAGCTCGAAGAAATCAGAGGATTACAGGTTTTCCGAGGCCTGTTCCTTCTATCACATGGGTGACAACGCACCCTGCTATCTTGGGGCTCAACTGTCACCTCCAGGAACTGTACCAGAACTCCATTAGAGAGACCCTGGCGGCAGCTCGCAGATGTCAGGCTGGTGTTGGGCCGCAAGTCCTCACCCCCCGCTGCTGTCATGGGCCAGAGCCGCCCGGCGATCAGAGGCCAGAGAGCCACGGGCAGGGAGCTCACAGCTGTCGTTCCCCACTTTGGGGCTCTGGACTCGGACAGGAACCCCGAGATCTCGCTGCCTCTCTCCCGCCACACACAGGGCTCCCGGAAGGCCCGGCGGCGCTGTGGCAGGTGCCCGACCCAGTGAGCGCCCAGCACGTTGGCGCTGCTCCCGTGCTCCCCTCACGATTCTGGTGCCTCCTCCGCTTTTGTCCCTTCTGTAAACTTCAACTGTCTTTTGTGTGTGATTTAAAAAAGAAATCTTGCAAATGAAAATAACTTCCTTGCTTTTTCGGATTTTCAGAGCAACGCGTGCTCATTATGAAAGATTCAGAGGACAGGTGGAAGAGAGGAGAAACAATGAGGCAGGTTTTAGCAGCCTCGGGGTGTTTACAGCAGAGTTGGAATGATGAGGTTCCCTCTTCATGAAACTGGGGTGCTCCTTCCTTTACCCCTCCTTAAAATCCAGCTCAGGTTCCTGCTCCCCACAGGGGTCCCCAGGGTCCCGAGGTCCAGAACAATCTTCGCTTTAACTGATCTTGGTTTCTTCCATTTGAAAAAGCATTTATTGACATTTATTACTTTGGGGCGGCACGTAGGACCCGGCCGCTGGGATGCATCCCTCCTGTCTGCATTAGGAAGAGGGCGTGTGCCGGGCACCCGCAACCTCATCTGACGGCGTCATTGTGGAAGGCAGAAGGTGAGTGTTGCGCTCGCCCCCACTTCACAGATGAAGAAATTGAGAACAAGAAGCTTTCCTGGAAACCACGGCAGGTGAGCTGAGAGCCAGGATTTGCACCTGAGTCTCTGGGCTGGGGCTTGAGCTCTGAGCTCCCACATGGCATTGCCTCCCTGCACAACTTAGCAAGGGGATAAAGGTCCTCACCTGGGTGTGCCCAGGAGAGGGAGGACAGCGGCATCATCCTGGGGATGTGAGAAGACTCCCTGGAGATGGTGAGGCTTTACTGGGTTTTGAAGGATGTATAGGAGTCGTCAGCACAGGAAGCATCTGAAGAGGAGAAAACAGCCTGTGCGTGGTGTGACGGGGGTGAGTGGGCAGAGACAGCGGCAGCACAGGGACAGGCCGGGAGGAGAGGGAGCCCGGCACTTACACTCTCCACTCCAGACTGGAGTTTTGGGTGCCTCGGGCACGCAGCAACCTGGCAGGTGACCCAGAGGGAGGTGGCGGCTGGGCTGTGCACCAGCCATGCCCAAGCTGGGCCCGGGAGCTGCGTTCCCATTTGAAGTCTCTGCAGCAAGCAAGCGTGCTGGGAGCTGTCCCTGCATGCTGGGGACGTTTGGGGCCCGGACTGGCATGGCCAGAGGTCTGACGCCTTTGTTCCTCCCAGGCTCCCTGGCCCCGCCCTCTGCCCACCCTGCTGTGGTCCAGGGAGGGTGTGTTCAACTGCTCCTGCCTTGGGGTCTTTTATCCAGGGCCCTGGGGTCAAGATCCTTGCGCCGGGCGGTATTTCAACAGCCCGACTCTGGGTCTTGGGATTCTGGAGCTCGGGCTCGGCCTTGACCTGTGCCTGTGGCCCCAACCAGTGCTCTTCAGGGCAGACTCTGGCTTCTGCTGCGCCGGGCTGCTAGGCAGAGCCCCGGGAAGCCGTGACAGCCGCTCGTGGCTCCTCCGCCTCCTCGCGGACTCTCCGTGCGCCCTAGGCTGCCCCACCTCAGGGGACGCCCACCTCACCCGGCAGCCGGAAGCGCTCCTGCGGGAGGACTAGAGCAGGTGCTGGCCACCTTCTCCCCCACCCCACCCCACCCCCGGGCTCTCTCCTGATTGCGGAAGTAGCCTGGGACCTGCACCACAAGACCCCCGCGGCCCAGCTTCTGCTCCCGGTCTGGCCCGCTCTGGTCTCCCAGCCAGCGTCTGTGAGCCCGACATCTGGGGCGCCTCAGTGGGGCGCCTTTGCTGTCCCGTCCTCCATCCCAATTTGGGGCCCAGCTGTGACCAGACCCGATGACGTCTACGGGGGCCTCTGGCCCCCCTTCCCTGGCTGCGGGCACTAGAGGCTGCCCAGGCCGCCCTGTGGGGGCCTTGAGGACCTCTTCCCTCCCCTCTCCTGCTTTGCCTCTGGGTCCACCTCTCTCATCCTGGCAGCTCCCGTGGCCTTGGTCCTCACCACACAAGGTCTCGCGCCAGCACTGCGGCTTTTGTGGTCTCCAGGAGACGGCTGGGCTGGGAGTCCCAGGGTTCCCACCCCTCTGCCCTCCCTGGACAGACAGACCTCATTCCGTCCCTGCTGCCCACCTCACTGGACAGCCATGCTGGGACCCCGTCCAGTCTCGGCGCCGGAATGGGCTGCTGTGTGCTCTGATAATGGCCGTTCTTTCTGGTAAGCGCGACTGTGTTAGTCACCTCCCCATCGCCGAGCAAAACACTCAACATCCACAGCTTAAAGGAGACTGATTTCAGGGTCTTCAGGCCGTGCTCGGCTGGCTCCAGAACAGAACGACGTGGCAGAAGGTGTGGGGAAAGAGAGCCGTTCACTTCAGCCACCAGGAAGCAGAGTCGGGGGAGCAGCCAGGGACAGGAGTGACCCTTCTGGGTCACAGTCCTAGTGACCGCCTCCAACCCGGCCCCGCCTCCCGACAGCACGTCAGCCACGAACTCACCGGAGGGACTCCTCCTAGACGGAGGTGGCGAACCCACGGCACGCGTGCCACAGCCAGCTGTTTGTTACCGCTGAAAGCTCTCAAAGGTTCGCCATCACCGCTCGAGATTTAGGACCTACAGTGACCCCGTGGCACACCTAACATGGCAGCTACTTCATTAAAGGAGTTGAGCTGCAACTCACATGGGGTCGCAAGACTCGGGCGTGTCGCTCTCCAGAGGAGCAGCTCTGCCTCCAGCCCCGCCTCTGTCTGGGAGTGTGCGGCCCCTGCTACTACCCACGTGAGAAGTTCATCCATCTCGCTCAGATTATTCACATCTCAAAACAAAACAAAAGACCGGAGAAATACTCAACAAGAGTACAGTGGTGCACACCTAGGAGCCCAGCACCCTGGGAGGCTGAGGCAGGAGGATTGCAAGCTCCAGCTCAGTCTGGGAAATTTAGCAACTAAGTGAGACCCTGTTACAAAACGAAAAATAAAAAGAGGGCTGGGGATGGGGCTCAGTGTTGAAGGCTCTGGGTTCCAGTCCCAGTCCCTGCCCCTCAAAAGGGAGGGAAGACATTCTTCGAAGATCTTTTCTGACGGAGGAGCTGTTGCTGAGTGGTGGTAGGAGTGGGGACAGACGGGGCGCCCTCTGGACCGTGAAAGACACAAGAACAATGAACACAGCTCATCTAAAAATCACACAGGCACAGCAGTGAGGTCGTTTACGTGCATTGTCCCTGCCCACCTCTCCTGTCCAGGTGAGGACACTGTGGTTCAGGGGCCCCGTCAATTGCCCAAGGTCACCAGTAGAAGGGCACGGAGCCTGGAATTCACTCCCAGGCCCTTTGACTCTGGAGCTTTTGAAGCCTAGTTGGATGCCAGGTGCCCTGCCCCGTCACGGGCCCTACTCCTCTCTCTCAGCTGGCGTCAGCACACATCAAAGTCACAGGCAGGAGCAGAAACCAGAGGGCAGGGTATTTCAGGGTCCCAAGGGCCATGGGGTCCATGGACAGCTTTTTCTTTCTGTTACTGGTGCTTAAGCCCAGGCTTTCACACTGAGCCCCATACCCCACCTATCGGCTGTTTACTGAGCACCTCTGAGCCACTCTGCAGACCCCACCACGACGTGGGGGTGGACAGGCGGTGGAGGTGACCACCCTCAAACAGGGACTCCCTCGTGGTGGGCAGGCTGCTGGCCTGGGAGGAAGCTTTTGGGTTCTGTGTCTAACCCAGCTGTGACCCACTGCCTTGGGCCTGTGGCAGGCTCTGAGTAGCAGGCTGTCCGTCCTCCTGGCTGCCACTGCTGTCTCCAACCCGGTGGCCGCATCCCAGGGGTGCAGGAGCCCCAGATGACTGGGGGGAGGCTGAGATGGGTCCTGGAGGAGGTGACACTTCAGTGACCCCAAGGCTGAGTGAGTTGGGTGGACAGAGAGGAGAGAGGAGTAGGAACCAGCCAGGGGAAGCCACAGCCCACGGCAAGAGGAAGCTGGGGGCAGAAGTCACGATGAAGCCAGGAGGAGGCTGAGGCTGGACTTCCAAAGCCTCGGGGACCTGGGAAGGAGGGGTGGCCCCCGAAGGCTCAATGAGCCACAGGGCTCTCAACACTGGAGAGGGCCTGAGGAGGCAGCTCAGCGACAGAACACGCCTGCATGTGCAAGACCCTGGATTCCATTCCCAGCACTACCAAGCACACAAACAAGCCCAGCCTGATAGTGCCCACCTGTAATCCCAGCACTCGGGAGGCTGAGGCAGGAGGATTGCTCGGAGTTCGAGACCAGCCTGTGCCACAGAGGGAGTTCAAGTTCAGCCTGGACTACAGAGTGCGACCCTGTCTCAAAAAACAAACGATAACATTAAATTAATAAACACTGGATGAGTGTGGCCTAAAGGAGGCTGGAAGGAGCCAGGGGGATGCGTGGGCATGGAGGCTGCGGCATCACCCTGGCAGAGGTGGGTGAGGGTGGCCCGACCGAGACTGGAAGAGGGCGGAGAACTACAACCCCACAAGTGTGGGAGAAGAACACCTCCCCATGTGCCAGGATTCAGGGCCCCAGGCCCGGGCCCTTCCTTGGGGTCCTGGAGCACCTGATTCTGGCTGCAGCCAGCAGGCCTGGGCCCCTCGCCTGGCAAGGGTGGGTAGGCGTGAGAGCCGCGGCGGCAGCGCCAGCCCGGGCTCCCTGGAGCGCCAATTCTGAAAATGACAAATGGAGACGGGCTGGGAAGGTTGGAAAATGGGTACCTCCGCGCCTCCTGCGTCTACCGCAGGGCCGGGAAATAGCTGAGCCACGAGGGAGCCGCCGGAGGGGTGGCCGCCCGCGCCAGGGACGGGAGGGGCCCGGAGAGCAGGAGAGAGTAAGGGACAGCAAGGACACGCTTGGCGGACGGAGAGGACAGACGTCAGAACGGACACAGAAGGGCCGGCTGCGTGCGTGACCGTGTGTCGTGTGAGCAATTCGAAGCCCGCCGCCCCTCGGGCCTGCTGCACACCCTTCTCTGTTCATCCTGCCACCACCGAAAAGAGAGCGGGCGCGCAGGAGAGAAAGAAGGAAAACAAAATATCTACAGTTGTCGAGACAAGAGGAGAAAAATAGAGGCAAACATCCGTAATTTTCTCTGTGGGGCTTTTCGGTAATTGAGCCATTTGGATAAAAATAAAGGCAGCGGGCCCCTTAGGTAAGAAGAGCTTTTGCAATCTAAGAAGCTTGAATTATGCGTCTTGTGTCACTTGAAATCCCCCCCGTCCCCCCCCTCACGCGGGCGACCCAAACCACTTTCCCTTTTCTTATTATTTTTTTAAGTACCCTGTCAAATGTCATCTGCAGAGCAGAGAATTTCAGCTGTCACAACTAATTTCAATTTTTCCCTGTGCTTTCCCCCCTTGGCGTACGGGGCGGGGGGGCCCGGCTGAGCCCCTTCCCTCCCCCGTGCCGCTGTTCACTCTTTTTATTTCTCATTATTGTTATTATTTCACAACCCCATTTACATCATAAATTTGTTTGGGGAGTGTTTAAGGACTGAGGGCCGCTTGTGCCGATGGCTCGGCCTGGCCCGGTGGGCTTCGTGCTCCCTGCCCCGCTCCTTGAACCCTACTCTGCCACCCTGAGCCCTGCGACTCCCCACCTGGTCCCCTGCCCACCGGGGGACTCGGGTCCCGGGGCCGCAGGTGGCTGAGATCCCTGCAGGCAGTGGGGACAGTTGGGGGGACAAGTGTCATGGCCTGGCCCACTCCCTCCCCAGGGGCCGGCACTTTGATCTTGGATTCCTTGGGCTCTGGGACTGGGAGAAATAAATTTCTATTAGGTGAAAGTATCCAGCCTGGGATGCTTTGTGACAGCAGCAGAAACAAACTGAGACAGGTGGTCGCCAAAGAGTGACCTCCAGAAGCCAGGGTGCCTGTCCACTAGGCGATTTGGGGGAGAACCTTCCCAGTGGACAGAGGAAGGGGCACAGGGTGGAATGTGGGCTGACTCGGGGTCCCCAAAATTCATAAGCGGAAGCCCTAAGCCCCGGAACCTCAGCATGGGACTGTCCCCAGCTGATTTCTGTCGCTGTGACTGAATTCCGCAGTCTCGATGACTTACGAATCTGAGAGGTTCGTTGGGTCTCCAGGGTCCGGGGGCCCAGGCATATGCTCAGCTCCTGGGACGTTCAGTGTGGTTCAACTCACGGGAAACAGAGGAGCAGGTGGGTTTGGGCAGAACAGAGGGGCAAGAGTCTGAGGGTGAGGTGCAGTGCCAGGCTGGCTTTAGAAGGCTCTCAGGACCCTTAACCTACTCTCCTGGGAACCATATTCATCCCTTCAAAAGTGTGGAACCCCATGACCTAATTAATCACTTACATTTTTAAAATTTTTGAGACAGGATCTCACTAAGCTGCTAATTTGCCCAGGCTAGGCTTGAACTTGTGATCCTCCTGCCTCAGCCTCCCAGAGAGCTAGGATTACAGGTGTGCACTATCACACCCAGCTCCAGCAGGCTACTATTTAACATCAGTCCTAGGGGAGTAAAACCCAGAGAGGTGGCACAGCGTGTTCTGAGAAGTGCATGTAAGCCAGCAAGGTGTGTACTCGATGCTTCCTGCAGGACTAGAAACAACCTGCAGGGTGGAGGAGAGTGGGGAGGGCATAAGAGAAGACAGGATGGGGTGATGGCCTGGCTAGGTGCGCCGCTTGGTCACAGAGTGCACAGAGCATCCAGCGGGCTCTCAGCACCCAGTTCAGTGCAGTGCTCCCTTCCAGAGAAGCTGTGTAGCCTGCTGGTTAAGGGTGTGCTCCCCGGAGTAGCTGAACTCCAGCTCTCCCCACTTACAGCTAGGCACCTGGGCACCTCCAGCCATTACCTCACCGGCAAAACTGGAATGCTGCACATGCCTGTCCCTGGGAGGCTGACGGAGGATCACAAGTTCAAGCCCAGCCTGGACCACTTAGTGACTTAATGAGAACCTGTCTCAAAGTTTAAACAAAATGGGCCGATGGATGGAATTCAGTGTGAAAGCCCTGGGTTCCATCCTCACTACCAAAAAAGAAAGGAAGGAAGGAAGGAAGGCAGGCAGGCAGGCAGGCAGGCAGGAAGGAAACAGATTAATGGTTTCTACCAGCGGCAGTTTTGCTTGTGCTCCCAGGCACCTGTGGACTACATTTTCCAGGAGCCCCTACAGTCAGGAAGAGCCATGTGACCGGGTCTGGCCAATGGAATCTAAGGAGGAAGTGACGTCAACATTTCCAGGTCTAGCTCCTAAAACTCCCTGTACCACTGTTCATGCCCTGGCACCTGGGCCCACGAAGACGGAGTAGGCCCTTGCCTCCCACTGCACTGTAGTCTGAGACGGCCAGCCTCGGAGGACTGTCACACCACCCATTGCCTTTTACATGGATTGAAGAGAGAAGCCATCCAGAGCG